ATAATAGAGTTTCTTTTGTGCATTGTTGGGTTCTTACTATTGTAGCTGTGTATTTGATCTATGTGAATTGATTTTCCGAATACTTGTACCTCCTGTATTCATTCTTTTGACCAAAATTTTAAAAAATGGAATTTCTTCTAATTCCTCTCACTTGAATGTGATATCATGAGACACTCTGTTGACTCTTTGATGATTGCTTTCTCAATCATGCTTTATTCTAATTATAACGAATGTGCTATTTATGTAATTTGCATCAAATTCTGATTTAATTAATAAGAGAAATGTGCCTTCCAGTTTTCCAGTAATAGTTTCAGCCTTAAAATCTTTTGTCAATTGGTTTCATCATTTTATACAAATAAGTCCGTCCAATATTTTGCTATTTAGTAGAAAAGGTGATACCTATTTCTGTATCCTTATTGATTTATACAGGTTATTCTAATTTTTTTATTGATTTTATCCCCTTAAAATTGAGATGCCACTTGTCTAAATATGCTACATGTATGATAATGTCAATCATTAGCTTTAATATAACCGTGTATTAAATTTTTGTTGTCAATTTTACCGTGGTTACCAATAGATATAATAATAATAATATTAATAATAATAATAACTGAACAAGTATTGTTTTGCTTAGATACATACACACACGTGTATATACAGGTGCATTTTGTTTCAAGCGTGAATATCAACACATAAACTTGGACAAAGCAACAACAACAGCAACAACAAATGTGTACCAGGATTATAAGAGCTCATTTTTTATTATTTCGCAGATTCTTTTTTAAACTGTCTATAAACTGAACAATACAAGAACATAAGTTACAAGGAAGAGGTTAAAAGAATTGACTATTATAGGATAAGAAAATATTCTTGAAAAAGCTACAGACTTCAAAACTTTCTTTAGTTAGATTACCTATTTTATCGATGCACTTTTTCGAGTTAGACTTTGTTTCTACTCAAAATTCAGGGCTCTGTATTTTTCCAAGAATGTCCGTCTAATTATCCTATTAACAGTCGACCCTTTTATACGTTTAATAAGTTAACAACTTACATCACTCCAGACCTATAATATCTACGGTTCCTGTCAGATTCAGACCTCTTTTTCATAATTTTTATTTTTGTATAGTTCAGGATGTGAGCAAATGAAAAGAATCTTAGAAATTATAAAAAATGAGCTCTTCTTATCCTGGTATGCATTCGTTGTTGTTTTGTTCAAGTTCCCTAATAGGGATGATTGTATGAAGTTATTAACACGTTCTTAGAACGAATATATGCATGAAAAAACCAGTTCTCATTGGGAAGATAAGCGTGACGAAAAACTAAATTTGAAATTTAATTTTTGCTTAAGGTCAAGTTAATTAACAGTTGTTTTTTTATCTTGATGGGCTTTGTAAAGATTTTTGACTAATTTCAACGTAGATTTTATCATGAGACAATATCGGTTGGACAGAATCATGTAGACAGTTGGTTCGTCCTAGTTTTGGACTCTTTGGCAATGCGCATGCATCACCCCACCATGTATAGAACCCAATATCACCAGGTCATGAGGCGAGCCAGTCGACCATTCAACCACTGGGTTGGAATTCAGTTATCCATGAATTTTCACCCCACTGCCAACTGATGCTATTGATGAACATCAGCCTGACAGTGACATAGTATAGCTCATAATCATATGACCAAGATAAATAAAGTCTGTAAAGTGTTGGTTAGCAGCAGAATGCAAAAAGTACGTTTCGTCCTATTTATTTGAACTTATTGATTGAATCTATGCTATCACTCAAGTAAGTGATAGTGTTTCAATTGTAACTAAAAACAGGAAATATGATTTTCTAAAAGGAAGCGTTATATTTCCAAGTCTAATCAACTGATAAATATTGAGTTGAACGAAATGAATATGATAGATTCTCTTCTGTTAATCACTACCAAAGAAACGACGTATACATGTGTTTATAAAGAATAGATGTTTTATTTTAGTCATCAACATTTTAGAAACTTCAAGATCAGTATATTTCTGATTGCTATTTTCTTCTCATATTTAAAGAAGGTAGATACAAACTGTCTATTTTATGCAGACAAAATTAAGGTAGTTTAGAAAAAAAATACTCACTTATATAGATTTTATTGATCGTCATATGATTATAACTGTGAATGAGTGACACTTTTTAATGTGTGGGTGTGAGGTGCACGTACTTATTTACATTTGTTTCAATTGGTTTAGCACTATTTCACACATACCTAATCGGTCAGCGTGTTGTTTTCTTTCTTTTCTGTTCTTTTTGTCCAAATTTTTCTTAGAATACAACTACTTCAGCGGACACAATAGCAAATTGATTTATTTATTTCGATAGACAGATGGAATAGTTGAATGATATAATCAATATTTTCCTTAGCTATAGCATAGATTTCAACTAGTAGTGATGGTCATTGTTAATTCATAAAAAACCTGCACTCGTTCTGTTTAGTTTTGAGTGTTTTATTTGTTTACCTTTCCTTGCAAGTCAAGAGGCCATGAAGGCTGATTAAGTTCAATCCTTCTATGACATCAGATTAGTTGGATGGTAGTGAGCAGCAGTGGAATCCAGTATGCACAATAATTCAGTTTGAGACCTTTCAGCTAGATGTGCTTGAATCCTAAATGATTGGTGATGTTGCATTGAATATGATTCTCGTTGCCCAGTGGCCTAGTGCGTAATTCTTTGGAGTGGGTGCTGAGTTCAATTCAAAGTGGGAACATCGTCAAACAGTAGATGTGCACGTGCATCAAGCTGATGAGTCTGAAATAGGATGAAATCCACTCCCTCGACTCCGCTGCTGTCCACCATAAACCAAATGACAGTCATGGCATTCATACACCGTCAAAACGTCCTTACTGGAAGCAAACACTTCAACAGAGATTAACTATTTCTGTCCAATATAAATCGCCAGTGGAAAACTTGAAGGAGCTTACGTAGACTATGTTAGATTGATAAGTAATATTAAAAATGTAAGGTATCACTCACTGTTATCCTAGGTCCTCCAGTTATTGAGTTCAAAACAGGACGTGATGCACCAACTGAGTTTCATTGCTAGACATCCATCACTGATCAAATAATACCAATTTGAAGTATCTGTACTGTTAGCCAGTACACAAATACTAACTGATCATTTTGCTGCAGGGGAATCAAACAACCGTAGGTAAACCTGGGACAGAAGTAAAATAAACTTCATGTCAATAATTAAATCACTACCGATTTCATATGCATTGCGAAAAACTGATTGCGTTGGAGTTGAAGTTTACTGAAGTAGTTTCTAATATAACATTGGTCTGTAAAATCAATTGCAAATCAGTTGGAGGCAATCGCCGAGAGACCGTAGACCTCGGTTTTGTGTTTGTTGTTATTTGTCCACCACGTATGCCTACAACCAGCTAACACAATTCAGAGTACACAATGATGGTGAGTTACCTGACTTCGTGACCGCCTTGTAAATGCATCGGATAGAACTGAGTCAGTATCAACGCAAAGGACTAAAAACATCCCATTGGTTACTGCCTCGTATCTAATCAATGTATATTGCTAGTTAGTTTACAGGAAATCCATTCTAGACACAAATCTCATGTTTGTTAGCACTTACTGCAAGACATGTCCATCTGCAACCCTGACACAACAAATACTTTCACTGCTATTCAAACATTCACCTACAAAGTGAGTAGTGTAGATTTTGAAACTAGGAGATACAGATTCAAACTTCACAGATAACAAAAGTCTTCGAAAGACTGCACACATACTTTGTTGGTAAGTGGTTAATAAGCACAAAATCTAACTTCAGGGCACATTATACACTTGTTCAACAGACTTATATCACTACCAATGGTTTATCATCCAGATTGATTATCACTGTTGTTGCCAAGTAACCAGTCATATCAGACAACTTTCATGACAGCAAATAACCACCAGGAAAATGCATTGCACAGAAAACAGTAAAAGTACAAAACAAAATTTCACAGGCCAATATAAAGACATGGTGGTATGTTGTCAAAAGTAAAGCAGACTGAGAATACATAAATAATTATATTTAAAAAACTTTGTAATCTACTAATAATGAGATTTTCTGAGGTAGCGACTCGATTATTACCCAAAAGTCAATCAACTACGCTGAAACGCAAAATTCAGCGAAATTCTAACCGATGGCCTTCAAGTCATGTGATGAAGAATGCAGAAAACATAATATAGCAAAGTGTTCATGTCTCTTTAGGCGTAGATAATAAATGCGACTATTTAGTCGGAAACTCATATTTGGAATATTGTGCAGTGTTTATCGGCTGTAATCAATAGGTATTTTTCCTAGCCGTAAGTGTTATTTAGACTATGGTAACTAATTAATAGGTGCGCATTTCGCTCTATTTGAGACACCTCATCTTGGTGTACATGTGTCTCGGTGAGTGTTGGTTACTCCACTGAAAGTGGGACTAAGCACCCTTCGTTAGTAATTCTCATGTCCACAGAGACAGAACATATCGTTCTAGTATAATCAATCAACGAGAAATTAAAAATGGCTTCAATTTTCTTCTAGCTGTTGGTTTGATCGACAATAGAGATGATTTCCTGAAACTCACTCATTTTTATAATAATCATCCAACTTTTAATACTCGACTTTAAGAAAACTTTATAACATGAGTCTAGTGTGCATCTGTTAACTATAGAGACGTCCGTCTATGATATCAGATAACCTTCGTGACACATCTGTCCGTCCTTCAGAAACTGGACTCCACTTATGTTAAGTCAGACTGTGATGTCCCTTTCAATCAGTTCATCAAACATTGTTCGATTAGATGCACAAGATATCTATAGAGACTTTATTCTCATACATTCACGTATACGCACCTATGCCAATGTCAGTGTCGATAAATTGTTTTATTCACGATTATTGAATGACATTGTGACAGATACAAGAAAGTTGTGATTTTTTCACTTCACATGATTATATATGCATAATATTTGATTTTTTATTTTCGCTTTTAGGCACTCCATGGTCTGATGGATTTATCGCCATTTTTTCGTATGATCATTATATATCTCATTGGAATGTTTGGTGGTGGACTAGTTGTCCACCTTTATCACTTACAACGTGAGGATAATTTATATACATCAGTTATCAGTGCTGCTAAATCACCACAATTGTTGACTAATGATGACGCGTATAAACAGTTGAGTAGGTCATAATTTTTCCTCCTGGTTTAAATCAATGCTTCTTTTCTTTCTTCTAAAAAATGTAGTTCACTCCAATGATTCAATTCATGAACATGCTTTACAACATTTGGGTGAGTATGAGTTGATTTTGTTCTTTTTTTTTTTTGCTTTATTTTGTCTTTAGCCAGTATAGCAAAAACAATGACTGTTCTCCAGACAGATGTACAACATAGTACTTTAGAATGGTTTGTCATGCTTCAATCTAAGCATCGAGTATTCAAATTGTTCTTCTATCCTCCGCTGCCTGTGAGTTGTGAGTAATTAACGAAATAAGATGGGCGTCAGTATTTCCACTTGCTAGATGCAGCGTATGCAAAAATCTGTTGTTGAACAGAATATAATAACTCATATAATCTGCTCCCTTGATTCGCTTCTTCAAAGCAAACAACGAACCCGTTTTCCGGATAAAATCCGTAATACAGATGGATGATATTGATTTCGCTGTATTCTCTGAGATGGTTAATTTAATTGAAATAATATATGTATAGGTTGTCTTCAGCTGATGAGATTTCTCATAATTTAAATGTGCACATTTTATACTACAATTGTTGTTTTGTTTTGCTTTGAGACTGCGATAGATGCAACATAAATACCAATTTTATCTTCTATCACCTCTATTTTTCAATGTTTGGCAGCATCCGCCTATTTGATAGTCACGATGGTGGTCAGTCTGATGCGCCATCCGGTCACTTAATAAAACGACTCAACCAATCAGATTAACTCCACTTTCTAGTGCACATACTAATGGAACTTGTGAGGCTGATAATTGTTTTCGAAAAGTATACTAGAAAATAATAACACTAAAGATGCAAAATGTGTATTTAAATGCTTCTTTTTTGTTGGACAAAATGTCAAATTTTGCATATTATTCATCAAAAGTAGTAACCACACGCATGTTCAAACATTTTTTGTACTGAAATTAATTAATTTCCGCTTACTATTGAAGGACTTAACCTGACGCATAAAAAGTGAATAAATAGTTAGGAATCTGTGTCAAGCAACCAAAGGCTTTGGTTTCGAATCCCAATATATGTGTCGCGCTTGATTTCTTTCGAAACCTCACTAGTTGAATAAATAAATCTGGGCTACGATAGGCAATCTTCAGGCTAGTAATCTGGACTTCATTTCATCCTCAATTGCTGCTCATTACACTGGTAGCCTTCTGCCGATCCATGATAGTTACATCATCATTTCATGGTTCAATAATTCAAAATTTTAAGAGGAACAATTTGTTGATTGCCAAAGAGGATTATGTTCCTGGAGGAGAGTGCTTAAGAAACATCGTGCTGCTGACGAAATCATGGTATCCACACTGTTAGTATGCTCACACTTGTCATCTATATGACCAGTGCGTATTATTGACTCTCCAGTCTGCCTATGTCTAATCTGTTGTCACGGATTTCTATCGCTTCTGTACCATGTCTTTTCACTTTCTCTGAAATCTGAGCAGTTTTGCCAGTCCCAAACATTGTGCGGTTATTCCATGTCCATATACTTACTGACAGGTTTCCCAATGCCTCCACCCTCAGGTTTCATTCGTCTTCGAATCGAATTATCCTCTGGAAAACAGACGGGAATAAATGTTTTTCTATGTGCTTTTAAGTTTTTGCAAAGATAGCAGTGGTTTTTACGGGTTGGAGTTAATAGTCCCACCCCCAATCTTCCCTCTTTTCTTGGCTTTAACCAGGCCAATAAACTAGGAAATATTTAGAAAAGGAAGCAGTGAAAAAACAATTGAGATAAAATATATCCAGAAGCAAAATATGTAGAGCTTTATTTCACCTTGATACAAATAGTAGAAGAGGAACAGAGGAAAATAGCATAGTGTATCATAAATATTGTCTTGAATAAACTGATCATTCTTCTTAGAAAATCAGCAGTCCTTTGGTTAAAGCATGGCAGATGTAAGGACCAGAGATCATATTTAGAAGTGATGGAGGCTTTTTTGCTCAAGTGATCGATATAAGTTGGATAGTTTGATGTGAAGCTTTTATTGTCTATCTAGACAACCAATATCTTCAGCTCTGACTTCAGTAAAAAGTGAGTTTTTGTGTTCTATGTGAGTTCAATAGCTGTCTCATCCTGTGACCTAGAACATGATTAGTTGTCTCCACAGAGTTCCTCAACTGAGCTTGGTACTGATTGAATTTCTGTAGATAGATCAATCGGAAAAGAAGGGTGCAAGTCAATCATTACTTCTCTACTCAACAGAGCTTCTATCAGCATAGATATAGAAACATGCCAGCTTCACGTCGTAATGAAGGTGAAATCTAATGATCTGTAGACAACAACGCAAATAGCACCAAGTATCATCACAATATCTTTAGTCTCCTATTCCTGGATCAAGCTTTTTAGCGTCGTGTTGCATGCCAATAATTTCTGTTGCCTTAGTTATCTTGTAATCAAATATTTTTGGTGATTTAAATCACTAAGCTCTGGTGAAATAAACCTGGAAATTATCATTTGGTGGTGGCATTATCTGGAATAATCCTGGACTGGTAGACAAATATTGAAGTAACAAATAGTGCTTGAAAGGGAACTAAAAAGCTCTTTAGAAGCAGGAGTCGAACCAATTGCCTGTAGATCATTAGTCTGGCAGTCTACCAGCTGAGCTATCAGACCCAATTGCTCACTGGGCAATAAACGAAAAAATATGCATTATTCATTCACACAGTAGGTGGGGATTACCCGTGATAACCTGATTAACAATTAGGTCGCATAACTCAGCTGACAAAGTATCTGAGTCATAAATAAGGAGGCAGATGTTTCGAAAAGTGCCTTCACCCATATTTTCATATTACTCATTAAACAAGAGATCACTGTTTTCAAATATCTAATGAATAATCCCCCGACTGATAACTGCTACCGTGGGCTTTTTGGTGGGCCTTACATATAACAATGACTCAAAGAGCTGCCAATGGTTGGAACTAGTGTTCCTGCTGGTTCTACCATATCAGAAAGATTGCTTGGATATTAGTTAGACTACAAGCAGTTACCATAATTGATTTGTAATTGTAGAGCCTGAAGAAGAATTCATTGGAAATAATTGTTAGTGACAGTGTTTCACCACATACTAGAAAGTGATAGGAATAGTTTACTAGATAATGCAATCACTCTGTTAATTCTGAATTAAGCCATAAAAACAATTGGAGCAGAATGTGTGACGGATTTAGTTTACTTACTCAGTATCTTGATTACTACTCACAATCTGAATTTTGTTTTTCATTCCTTTGCGTTTCTCCATGGTGTTGGGTTTTGAAGTTTCAGTTGGGTGGTGTTGTTTCCACAGGATGGAGTTGCTGAACTCACAGTAGACTCTTCATCTTCTTCGGACCTACCTCTAGCTAGGCAAAGTTAAGGAGTGAGTCGACCGATGGTCTAACTCGGGCCTACATTAAGGCTGGCTAGCACTCTCCAGTTACAACACCGACACATTTATAACCTGAATAGTGAAAGTTAATAGTTTTATTATAATTTTAATATGCTTTAGTACAATGGAGATAAAATGTCAAATAAAAATTAAAAATGATCATGGTATATACATTAGTCAAAGTTTTAAGTTAGCAAGATATAAAAATATACTGCTGTAATTAAGTGTATAGTGCTACCGACGTATCTTGAACAAAAGGAGAGGAAAGGTAGCAACAAGATATTGGCCTAATGGATAACGTCTTGGCGTTTGAAAGGATGGGTACTATGTTTCAGTCTTTGTAGGCACTCTATCATTTACTGGGATGCAGATGCATTCAAATTAGCAGTTCCCAATGGAACGGAATGCGTATCATTTATTCCTTTGCTAGTCACTACCAATCGAGTAACATTGTTCACTCCCTCCTCCTTTCATGGTCTAAATCCGTTTAACTCAAATTTTGAATAAAGTAGCAATAGAAATAGAATTAAATGAAATTATGCAATCTAACATTTTTTCTGTTTCTATGCTCATTGTGATAGTAATTTATTCATGTAAACACTTCGTCATATTGTACAACCTCTTATTGCATATGATTATTCACCTAAGTTCTGCTTCCACCATATTCTAACCGAAGCACTTACTAATCTGAGCATATGTTAATGAATCTATCATTTTTTGTGTATTTGTTTCCTTGTTGAGCAATGTTATCTGTTATAGGACTGAATCGAAGTGGAATTGTAGCTGGTTAAGTCGAAATCTGACATCAATCCACGAAGTGTTTCACTGTTGTTTTGAGTCATCCACGTGGGGAGGTATAAGCATTCTAGTTAGGTTTTTCAAGACACTTAGAACCAAACCATGGAGACTGTCAATGGTACTTCTCAAATTCATTCTCAATGACACGGATGTATTCACTGCTTCCAGATCCTTTAAATCCTCCTTATCCTCGAAGTATACATTCTTTCTCCCATACATTTTCATTTAATATGGTTTATTCACAGTTCTTGCATCTTTATATATGTGATGTAGACTGATAAGAAGTGGCTAAAATTGACATCAATATTTCAATTCAATGGCTGAAGAGGTAGAAGTGTTTATTCCTCAAATTCAGATTTAGTTTACGTTGTAGATGTGATGCAACCTCACTGGACAACTTGTTTGACCTTGGGCCGATTGCCAACCAATCAGAAATACCTATTCCCCTCCAACCTAGACGCAATTTGGTCTGGTTAAAATGTATGAGTATGATGTATTTCTCCTCAATAAAGGTGTGTTACCGAATCTCTTATCTTCTCTTGTTATATATCAGCTTGAAGTGGTTCACTTTTTTAGAGTGAAGGTAAAGTATACATTCCAAAGTACCCCTGTTTAATGAGCGCTCCTAGGATATAAGTAAAGACGAAGAAGTATTTTTGATGCAATAAGCCGAATATTTTGTCATGAAATATTGAAGATGTTTAACTCTGAAGCCTGCTGCCTGGATATGACTATCAAAAACTACTTGATGCCACAGACTAGCAAGACTTGTTCAATGAAACTAGCAGATTTAAGGGTATGCCTTAACATCATTGCTTTTGTGCAAAGTTTTTAATTAAAAATTCAGTGATTTATCTTGAATGTAAGACTGCTGTATGCATTCAAAGAAGAAAGAATGGTGAATACACGTTTACATGTCATTCTCATGAAGAAATTTTTCATATATCATAAAAACAGGAGAAATAAATAAAACTAAACTTTTAGAAATAAACATTTTCTTTGAAATGGCTTCTTAACATAGCGATAAGATGGAATCATTCGCTTTATATATTTTCACATAACTTTATGTGACTGACTACTTATTGATTAATCAATAAGAAAATATTTTTAATAATAACCAATCGACCAGTATATCATCCATCATATTTGTAAACTGCATGCGTATTATTATTTAATTTGCAAAAAGATGTTAAATGATGATAAAGTGTATTAAATTATGAATATTAATTTAATTGATTAAACAGAATAAGTAATGCGTTGGTACGCTTGTCTGTCTTTTTATATTCTTACACAGTAGTCGAGATACAGCTTCCAATTTTATAGCAGCTTTATTATTATTATTATTACCATTACTATTCCTAGTACTAATGTCACTGAAATCCGAAGATATACAAATAAAACCAACAATAGAACTATAATTATAATAATATAATTTGGTTTTTGCCTGTCATTATGGATAAGACTAGCTTAAATCAGACGATTTACCTCCGTAATTATTTAATAAGCCTTCACACTAACTGCAATGAATAAAGTATTTGACTTTTCCATCCCTTTTTGTAATGATTTTGAATTCCCCTTCACTTGATAACCATTTTTATTTATCTTAATAATATTCTATTTCTGTTAGTAACCTAATGTGACCAGTAGACTGCGAGCAGTGGGATATGGGATGTCCTTTCGGTCCTATTAGGGATTCAGTTGCTCATTGAGATGATGGATCCTGTTATCGAGTCCCAGTGAGAAAACCATCACTTACTCACTGTAGATGCATATAGCTCTACTTGACGAGTACCCAAATGACTGAAACGCAGATCTTTGATTCCACTGCTAGCCACCACCAATAAAGAACGTCGTACCAATCTACAGGGATTATCTCAGTGTCTGATACGTTAACACAGACCGAACATTTTAGTCGTTCAGCGAAATTCATCAACATGAGAGTCAAAATAATTTCAGGAAAGTATGATGCCATATGCTACTAACAGATTGTGGTGAGTAGTTGGATACCACTGGCATTGGCTGTCCGGTGTTCAGATGATGTCGACGTGACCCATGGTTCGTGTGATCGGTATCCTCAGTTTTTAAGTAGTATATAGTGTCTTGCATATATGCTGGCTTTTCTCATTGCCATTTACTGTGTCAAGCAGATCACGCATTGTGGTCTGAAATTTCCCCTCGAAGTGTGTGAATTGCAAATTGCGTATTTGATTCATTGAGAGTACAATGTTTTGTATCAATTTTTAAAAACTTGTTTCCGTTGGTATGAGTTGGAGAATTCCCATAACGTCCAGAAAGAACTAATGGTATGACCACTATTCAACTCTAATCGTATACAGAAATCTAGTCAAGTTATAACTCCCAATTTACATTTACACTCGGTATTCCTTTTCGTTTTTACTTTTTGTTCTCTGCTCTATTTCAAAAAGTGTTGATATACTGCTTCGGTAAATAATACATTTAGACAACCAAACTAACTTGGAAAAACTAATTAGATGGTTCCGCTTTTTACAAAACACCCATTCCATTCTACTCTGCAATTCCATCCAGGATGTTTCCTCGGTTGAAGTCAAACTTAGAATTGATTCAGAGTTAGAATTAAAATTAAGTTATGGGGTTCAGGAATTGGTGTTGGGTTTCGTGCTCACTTACCAAAACCTACATTTTACAGCATTTTAAATATTCTTTTTATTATTATTATTGTTCCTTTGGGTTCCTAGTGGAACAAAGGGCTTCAACTGCACGTCTCCACTTGTTTCTGTCTTCTGTTGTACTTTTCACCTGCATCCATGTTAGTCCATACTGTTTCAGCTCCTCTTCACACGATCTCCTCCATGTCACCCTTGGACGTCCCACTCACCGCTTCCCTTTCGGGTTCCACTCGAGCGATGGCCTGACGCGCGATGTCACCCAGCGGCCTCCTCAGCGAGTCTCCAATCCATCTCCACTTTCTCCTGTATATTTGTTGAGCGATTGGTTCTTGTTTTGTTTGTTCCCATAGTTTCTTGTTGGTGATTCTTTCCGCCCATTTGATCTTCAGTATAGAGCGAAGACAGTTGTTGATAAAGGTCTCCAGCCTGTTGGAAATATTCTTTGTGACCCGCCAAGTTTCTGATCCGCACAGAAGAAGTGACTTGACGTTTGTATTGAAAATCCGAATTTTGTTGTTGATGCTGAGTGACGAAGATTTCCAGATTGGTTTCAGGTTGATTAATGTGTTTCTCGCCTTCCCGATTCTAAATTAATTAATTTTCTATTCATTTGTTCGTCTGAAATACAGTTTCATAATCAAATTATTATTTTCTGTAATTATGCGACTGTTGTCACTAGGTTTCTCCAAAGTCATTTGGTGATAGACTGTTCGTTTTATTTACTAGTCATTTGCAAAGCAGTTGCTGAATATATATATATATATATATGTATATACATATATAACATGTTTTACTCGGATGGTTATGTTATTTGCCTAGCGCAAATAGTATTGATCGAAGCTGACAACCGACTCAGGGATCTTGAGGTGGCCAATCACAGTTTTCTTAGAGGATACTACACCTGCAACAGAGAAATTGAGTCTATCACTAATAATGAATGTTGTTCAGAATTTAGAAAAAGTATTTCATGTGAAAAAGTTGTTTAAATGAAACTCTAAGTACAGGTTATTTGAATGGATGTCAACACTTCTATGAGAAATAGAGTGTTACTTTTGTAAAACTGTTCAATATTATTTTACGTTTTGGACACTTCATGAATGAGCCGCTTTTGCAACTAAGTTATCCTAGAGAATCATTTACTGAGAGTGTTATTCTTTAACTGAGGCGTATAAAATGTCTAATGGGCGAAGTTAAGTGATTTGTGTAGTATACCATCAGAGTTCTAGACATCAGTCAGCGTTTATTTATTATAATCTGTGTTGTTCGTGGTGTTATTGTTATGTTTTGTGCTTTTTATAGCTGAAGCAACATTGGCCAACGCATTGGCTGAACAAGTACGTGTATTCTGTTGGATAGTTACAATGCCAAAAAATCATCAGTCAAAAGCTGTTCACGTTAAAGCAACATGGGCTGGTCGATGCAATAAATATTTATTTATTAGTAGTGAAAAGGATGAAAAACTTCCATCAATAGGTAATTGTGTGTGATTGTCTGTGATTGTTTCTTTTGTTTTATGAATATTTTCCTGATCTGTTAAAACTTTTACTGTTAAAGGAGTTAATGATTCCAATATGAAAATGTGCCCAGATTTCTAAATCACTTGACTTTGTACAAATCACTCCCCAAATAGTCGAATTTGTCTTATCAATCGATTGATATCATTAATTCCCAAAAACAAAAATATGGTGATGAATCTGTACAACAAACAGTTGGTTAAACTTATCTTCAATCAGTCAGTGATGGAGCAAACTTCATGAGTCACAATCAAATTACTCAGAATAAAGAAATTGTAGGTTAGACAGTTTTGATGACAAACTTGAGTGAGCCATATTGAACTGCTTTGTGGAATAAATACCCACAAAAGTTTATGAAGACTGTTGACAAACAGTACTAGTAATAGTGAACTCGTACGAAATTCAATCTGGAAAAATTTACCAAAAGAGAGAGTTACAGTTGAATTTGGAAGCGGTGACATTACTGTCTAGATATTTGCGAAACTGTTGACTGAGTCACTTGGGTCCAGCATGTTGAGGTTGAGGCAGTAACTCATTGAAGAAGACATTGCGAAGTGGTCGTTCTATGTCATGAATTGGCAGAAGTAAGAATTCATGGACCATTGGACCGTGTCCCAGTGGCTAAATGACCTACAAGCTCGCCTTGTAACGAGCCCTGGCGGGTGCGTACTGTTGTAGAGTCCCAAGCTAGGGCGAAACAGCCTTCCAGTACTCCTAACTTGTTTTCCAATGGTTCTCTAACTGATGTCAGCTCATGATGAAATCCTCCAATAAAACTTGTTATTTTATCGGTAGATTCTTATAGCTGAGATGGCTAAGATTGTGAGATATATTATTTTACATGAATACTGCTTTCATGGATACGTCTTTTTCTTCTTCTTCGTCATTCTTTTATGATCCTAGTGGAACATAGGGCTTCAAATTTAGAAGTTTCAGTAGCGTTGGTGTTGTTTCAGGGGATAGCGCTGATGACATCACTGCCTGCCTTTCTTCTTTTCCAGTGTCAATACCGGTTAGTAAACTAGGCGAGGTTAGGGCATGCGTCCTCCAGGAATTGAACCTCAGACTAGGATACGTAGCTAGCAGTAAGTCATTACTGATACCTGTACATGTCAACTAAATCTGAACAACACACTGTCATTCCGTTCGTTTTTCGCTTAACTTATCTGATGCGTACCTGAGACGCCTAAACTCAGCGAGTCGATTTATTCAAACCATTGGAATCGCGAATAACCTTTTAGGCGGATGAGTATTGCGCAGCATGAGGTCAATATTTTGTGAATTTCATGGATAGAGACATGGTTTTGTCAGATTAAGCCTATACTATTTTGCAGTTGAATCTGAGCAATAGAGGAGGTGGTCAGTAAGATAGGCTGTAACAGTATTAGTCAGATTTCCAGGGCTTCATGGTTTTTTGATGCCTACCTTCTGAGTTATTTTTTCACTACAATAAAGGCCCTATGAATTATCTCACTTTAGAATGTAAAGTATGTTTTCTTAATTTACTTAGAAGTCATTGATTAACATAAGAAGGTTCTCTTTGGTTGTTTCACTTGGTGGCAGTCAGCTTTTTTTTACTCACCTTGGTCAGTAATTTGTTACTATTGATCAGCGCTGTAATTACTCGCATCCAGCTAGATTAACTCCATTTCTTCTCATATGCTACTGTAGTAGAATTATATGCAGCTTTTTAGATGACAATAATCAATTAACTGAAGTAATAAATCACGAGTACTTTAGATTCCGACTGACTCAAAGGTGGATTAGTAATGCACTTACCTTGATGATCACCACATGATAAGAGATATCTTGAAGCTATCGAGGTCTCTACAAATCCAAAATAGAAATTCTAAATTTAATTTTTTTCAATATAAATGAATCTAAATCATTTTGTAAAATATTTGACCTTAGTGAGTCTACTGAACAAATAAGTGTGTATAGCAATAAGACTGCTTGTGCGTCGGTGACCAAATGGTAGCAAGCCTGCCAACCACGCGTACTCCTAAACTTCGCTTAGCTGGTAGTAAGGCCGGTAAACAGGAAAGGTTTTGTATGAGTCTAGCAACCCTACCTTTTATAAAACAACATCGCCGCTGCTGAAATTGTAATACTCAAGCAAAGGAATGAAAAAAGAAACTGCTTGTATTAGCGAAACCTTTATTTCATGGATAAAGTTAGCAATTAATATTTCTTAGCCTTATGCAGTTTACTCTAAGCGAACAAGTCATCCTAGTTGTATGACAGAATTCATAGTTAAAGTATTTTGAAACTAGACAATATTTTCCTTTTTCTTGGTTACCAAAACAAATATAACGAAATACTTATCATCGAAATATGTGGTTAGAGCACACTTGTAATCGTCACTGCCCCTTATTTTATTCAATTTTATATTTTAAATGCATTTAAAACTTTATCAGTTCATAAAATGTTTTTACTATATTCAATCTGCATTCATGCTGATTTTCTAAAACAAGAAACAAAACACTACCCACCTTCGAACAATTTTGACAGCGTTTCCACACACGTTTCGTCACGTACTGATATTTGCAAGATAAATGTTGGAAACCAGAGGGCACTCGACAGTTGTTTTGTCCTAGTTTCAGATTTACACCCATCACAAAACCAGGAGTCGAACCCAAGGCTTTCAAGATTACCTCCTACCATCTAATACTTTCAAGCTATGTTGGGAGGGCTATCCATCATTTAGCCACTAAGTGGAAATTACAATGACCTATAAGTCCTAATTCTTGTCAATTATTTATAGAGCGCCACTGCCATGGATCCCCGATAGGCTTGTAAGTGCGTTATGCAGAAGAACCTTAAACTAAGTTTGAACAACTGCCCAGTGCTCCCTAGTTTTTTTATTTTTCTCCAAATGATGTCGGTTCCTGACAAAATCTATGCTGAAATTAATCTGTGTCCTTGAAATAATTGAAGTCTTTATCCACTGTTCTCATATTCATTCGTTGGAAAACGTTTTCTGTATATGTGTGCTTCTTCGTGCTAAAATGAACCCTGAGAATATGAATCCGCGCCCAGCTAGCTACGTCTTCTTCTGTCATAGTGAATAAGAAGAGAGAGCAGTTGAAATGTGTTGTGAGAATTGAGATGAGATTGGTGACAGCTTTTATGCGTGTGTGTGATTACTAATTGATGAAAAATTCTACTATCTTTCTTGTCTAACTAATTAAAATTCTACATTATTATAAAAAAAAAAAAAGAAAATATTTTTTTTATAAAATTTATAATTTTTTTTCCAAACTAAAAAAAAAAACCATGCATATATAATCATTACTGATTCAATTAATCTGACACCCGAAGTGATTCGAATACTGGACATCCAGTTGTTCAGCTTGTTCAGCTATCGAGTTCATAAGGCAATTTCTTTGAAGTGATTCAACTAGAAGAATCGTATGCTTTAAACTAACGGGGAAATGGTCAACATCTTGTATATTTTAAACAGAAAGTTATTTTAAGATAAAAGCTGTTATCAAATGTCATTAAAATTCAAGATTATATGTCTGATATAGGTTGTCATCATTATAAGTAGACATAAGTTAAAGGGACGGTGAAAAGTAAAGCTGTACTGAATACATCAATGAATGAATGAGTATCAGTTATGCCTTAGATTTTAGCTTTCCAATAGTAATCACTTATGGAGTATGGAACTATGGAACAAAAGATCTCATTGCAAGCATTCCACTAATAATCCACAAGTTGTTGTTTTTCAACTTCTACGGGTAATTTTTCAACTTCAGGGTAATTAACATTTGATGTCATTGATAACTAGTCATTTTCACGCCTACTTAGGATGATCCTATCTAATTGCAGCTTCCCACTAAAACTTAGGCAAATTCATCTTTCAGTTAATGAACAATAACAAGTGAATGCTTAATTTATTTTAAACTTATTGTTGTGTTTTAGAAATAATCTTCTACACTTTTCTAACTTTGCATCAGTCTGTATTTTTCTGTTCGTCTATGCGTTTTTCGATTACGGTTATTCATTTTATGCGTTCCTAGTGGAGCCTAAATGTCAACTGAATATCTCTGTTGCACTCAGTTCTCTGCCATAAAAGCATCCAATGACTACCCGTCATATGATCTGCTCCATGTCACCCTCAGATCTATGCCTAACTCGTGGCTTTCCTCTTGGGTTTCATGTAAGAGTGTGACTTGTGTCAATCTGTATCCGCCGACATACCTTTAAAATGATGGAAACTCAAGGGAGTTTACTGTTATTATTATTATTTCTGTTTGCTACATTAAGGATCAAGGATGTCAACAAACATTATTGGCTGGGAATATACGCCCTTAGTTTTACTGCCAGAAATGCTGGTCGATCTAAGATTGAACTGGAATTAAGGCTTATGAGTGGTCAGACCAAAATATTGCATCAGTTCATAAAGTATTTGACTGTTGTTTTAAAAAACGTACGAACGGACAGCTTTAGACTGCTTGACCACCTCCAACCATCTAATATCAACAATTCAAAGTGTATCGTGATGATGAGTCATCTAGAATGGTGGCTACATTGCAAACGTGACTACTAGAACTCAGTCTGCACCAAACAGAGGACCAGACACATTACACTAGTTGCTAACTTGTGTTCAATCAGAAGTAATATGTGTTTGACGGAACAGGGTATTCAGGTAGGCTAAAGTTCAAGCAGGCTGCCCGTATGAATTAAAAACAAACTCAAGATACTATCAATAGTTAAATGATTCCGGGGTTAGTTTGGATGCCAGTTGATTACATCAGACATTTCATGACACCTGACAGCCAACAAGATTTGCAGTCGAAGGTTCACTGTAGTGCAATAAATCATTCTGTTTTACTTTTATTTGGATGAGGATGTTTTCAGTAATGAAATTACCTATTTTTTATATATGTGTATATATGGTGAAACTATCTGAGATAACCTTAGATTGACAAACTATTGTTGGTGTAATAAGGTGAT